TCTGTTGCCCTGTTGTCTTTGGCTACAGACGGTTTCGGTGACTGAATCCAAGGAAAGTATTCTTGGTGGGGTGCTGAAGGCTCTTCTGCATAGCATGGCCTGCAATCAAAGCGCTCTTTATCTCCAGCACTGCTTTGCTACTCAAAGAGCTTTAGTCTCAAAGGTGAGTGTTTTGAAAATGGATTACCAAGTGAGGAGGTTTTATTTAATGTCGGGACGGAGACTGACTCATCTAAATGCAATAGCTCAAAGTAAGTTACCATTCCATGCCACTCTTGAATGAGCTTAGTTTGCACCCGGGACAGCTTTACTTCCACGGTTGCTGCTAGCAAAACGCAACCGAAGGCTTGCTTTCCTTGAGCTGGTGAGCAGGTGATCCCAGAAGGGATGAGAGCAGATAGTTAGCAGCATAATGCAAGTAAAGTAGAATCATATTGATACTTGGAACGCTCATTGTTTCTAGCTTTCACTGCATGATGTGCCTCTTATCCTCCCATTTTAGTTCCCAGAACTGCTGTTTGAAGAAGAGACCGAGCAATGTGCTGATCTATGCCTCCGGCTCCTGCGCCACTGCAGCAGTAGCATTAGCATGATACGATCCCATGCCAGTGCCTCTCTGTACCTCCTCATGAGGCAAAACTTTGAGATTGGGAATGTAAGTACTCTATTTCTGAAAGCGCACAGATTGTCTAAATCAGCGGTCCCCAACCTTTGCGGCTTGGCGGCCTGGCTGGGGGGGGGAGAGGGGAACTGGGCTGCACAAATTGAGATGCTGGTGCATGCAAGTGCACGCTGGCCCGCCACTCATGCAAGTCAAGCTGTGCGTGCGTGCCAGCCCGCCGCGCATGTGGCCTGGTTCCAAATAGGCCACAGACTGGTAGTGGACTGAGGTTGGGGACCCCTGATCTAAATGGTGGGGTGTCTGGAATTATGGAGGGAGGGACATCTCTAAAATGAGAATTTCAGTAGCCTTGCACTGACCAAAAGACTTGCATTAGACTTGAAGAATATCAAATAAAATCTTGGCCTTCTCTGTTACAGTGCCTCCTCTCTGGAGTAACAACCACCTATCTATACATCTGTATAGATCTCATCCGGATGATATTCCAGATGTCTTTGTATAGTGCCTCCTGTCTGGAATAGCATCCACCTATCTATAGATCTATATAGCTCCCACCCTGATGATATTCCAAATCCCAGCTATTCTCCTCAACCATGGGAGGGAGGTTGTGAAGCCATGTTGGTGTTTTGAGATTTTTGTACCTGAGATGTATGGTTTTTTAGTCTTCTGGATGTACATAATTAGTTTCTCTATCTTATTTTTTCATTCTTTTAAAAATATAAACATCGGGAACAGGATGGCTTCAAAATCATACAACTAAATCAATACATAAATACTATTCTTATCTCTTTCTTAAAGCAAGAACAAGTAACATTTTGGTAGTGAAGAAAGTCACATAGGGTTAGGAGGGGATGGACAATTAAATTTCTTTTTCACCAGCTAACCCGTTTTGGTTCTACTTTGGTCATTTGGCTTAGCGCATCTATATTAATTTTCTATTGATTAGCTTTAGGAAAAAATGTGTTACTTTCATTTGTTGTTCTGTCACCCAAATTTAATAGTTCAGTCTTAGGGGATATTGGGTTGTAGGAGAAAGAGTGTTGGGGGGGCCTATGGTTTGGATGTCTCTAAGATTATTTTCTGTTTGGGGATTATGAAATTTACGAAGCGTTTCTCCTTGAGAAACTATTCTTAGTAACGGATGAATGACGTTGTGGTAATTTGTCTGTTTCAGAACTTTGCTAGAGTGAAAATGCAGGTGACTATGTCACTCTCATCTCTAGTGGGAACATCTCAAAATTTTAATGAGGAGTTTCTGAGACGCTCTTTGAAAACCATTTTGACTTATGCTGAAGAGGATCTGGAATTAAAGGAGACAACCTTCCCTGATCAGGTTAGAGAAAATGATTGCTCAGCGTGGAATAGTACACGTAATCTTTGCTTAATTACCATTCAAAGTTATGACGGACTCCCCCCAAAATCACTTAACACCATCCTGAAGGTTATGTGTGCTACACAGACCCACCCCTGCGGTCATGTGATTGGCAGCCGGCTCGTATTTATGACCAGTTGCAGCATCTTGCAGTCATATGACAGCTATTTGGGATGGTTTTTTGCTGGTTTTCAGCCAAAATAACCCCATTAGGGAGAATGGATCCATTTAATGATCATGTGGTTCACTTAATGATCATCTGAGTCATTTAACAAACATGGAGACTCAGTTTATGACCACTGTAAAATTAGTCGTAAAATAGAGCCATTAACGATCACAACAACTTAAGACCAAAATATCAGAGTCAATTGTGATTATTCATTTCGTTTATTAAATTTAAATGCCACCCATCTCACTGTTGAGGTGACTTTGGGTGGCTATTATTAAGTGAGGACTACCTGTATGTGTATTTAATCCCTTAGAGAATTGTTGTATCAATATTTAAGAGCTTGGGGCTTTGATAACATTGTAAATAAAGAATCTTCTTGAAAGGATTTCATAAAGCAACATGATTCCCTTGCTTTAAACCACAGTGTAGCTCAGTCCAATACCACTTCTATCGGTCCTCTGATACTTACAAGACCTAGAAGAAGTTTCTGTGCATGTACAGGAATTTCTTACAACTTTTACAATTGCTGGGGTATGGAAAGTGATGCAAAGCATTCTATTAATGGCAATCAGATTGTTTGCCTTGATAAGGTAAATGCAACATGAAGCAACTTGTTCAGGCAAATCAAAGCTGCCCTTCACAGACTTATTAACTATGGAAATCCTCACTTTTAAATCTGCGTGCTTTTAGATTTGGTGAAAAAGTATTTTTCTTTGAACATAAAAAAGTGCTCATTCTCAGAAGGTCTAATCGATGCAGAATCTTAGAAGAGTTATTGATGCAAAAATGTGAAGTAAATATTTAGTGGTGGTAGAAAATGTAAAGTAAAATTCCTGGAAGTCAGCACAGAAAGTTGAAGTTAAAGTTAAACGGGTGTATTGACCCAGGTTGTGGTTTGGATGTAAGCACCATTTTCAAAATTGGCTGAAATTCAAATTCACTTTTAAATTTAGACTGTAAATGTATTTTGCAAAATTTTGATGATTTTTTTCTAGCTTTAATAGTTTATACAGAGCAGGGGGAATAATGATTTTGCGCTTAATAGAAACCTGATATCTGATATAATGAATGACAATTCAAAATTTGAATAAGACAAGTAATTTTAAACCAAACTAAACCAATGATGAATCTTTTTAGTTTTGCCAAAGTTTGCTGTCAGGCTTTGAGCAATGAGTGAATGATATATTAACAAATTAATATATAAACAAGTATAATTGTATTACTTTTGTATTTCCTATTTTCAGGTACAGGATCTTGTGTTCAACCTCCATATGATCCTCTCGGATACAGTTAAAATGAAAGAACACCAGGAAGATCCAGAAATGCTAATTGACTTGATGTACAGGTAGGATTGACAGAGTTTGCCCCTCTCTCAGAAATTGCAGGCAAAGAAATACACGTTAACCTGAATCTTCTGGCTTCAAAANAATTTTTATTTTATTTCTACCAGGTCCCGAGCAGAGATTGAACATGAAGCACTTATTGATGGTAACTTGGCAACAGAAGCCAATCTGATCATATTGGATACTTTAGAAATAATTGTGCAGGTGAGGATGCTAAGGAGTATTTGACATAGTTTCTAATGACCTAAATGCAACATGTGTTGTTTTTTGTACAAAAAAAAAATAATATTTCAGAATGCCTCCTACAAAAGCATATTGCAAATTGGTTGATGTCACAGCTAGCTTTGTAAATAAGCCAATCATTGATACTAACTTGTTATGAGGAAAGCTATGTTTCTTAAGCTAACACAGTAATATGAGAGTTTCATCTTCCATGCAAGCTTAGAGAGTAAAGAGGATTACCCTGATGGAGAAGGGCAAGATCTGTTACACAAGCAACTAAGAGGGAGACATTGCTTGAGTCCAGTTGATTGGAATAGATTTCTTGTCCTGGTCTATGAAGGTTCAGGCTTCTGGCATCTTGCCAAGGCCAGTGAGACAGTCTTCTGTCACATAGATTCATGAAGACCTTCTGCTCCATCGTTTTCATTGTAGCAGTGGATAAAAGTCATTTCTTTCATCTGCAACCAGTATAGAAACTAAGTGAAATACTGGAGGCAGAGCGGTCATCGCTTTCTTTCATATAATTCCTGATCCGCTCTGCTAACCATGTATGCTAAGAATGCTGGTTATAGGTAGTCCTCAACTTACAACATCAATTGAGATTAGAATTTCCATTGCTAAAGGCAGTTGTAAAGCATGACTGCATGGGTTATTGGCAGCAATCTCTGCAGCCATAGTTGCTGCCATTAACTGAATGCCATCGTTGTTAGGCAAAGCAACATCATGCTGGCTATCCACAACCAAAACCAGTGGGGAAAATGGCACAAAGTTGCAAGTCCCAGGCTGGCAAACAGGTAAAAAAATGCTGTTGGATATAAGAGAGAATGAGGAGGTGTGGGGGTGAAGGTGCACAAGGGAAATTAGGGAAGGTGTGGGGGAGTTGCTGTGACAATACAAGGGATGTGCAAGAGTTTAAGGGGTGCATGAGAGGCAGAATGTTGGTCAAGAAGAGTGAGAGGCTGCAAGGAGTGCACATGAGGGTGGGGGGGTGCGTAAGAGGCACACCATTGTTTAACACCATTCAAGGGTGCAAGGGAGGCATGGTGTGGGTTGGTAGGAGTGCAAGGATATGTGCGAGAGACACAGCACAGGCTGAGGAGGAAGCAAGAAAGTCGTGGATTGGGGAGGATGTGAGGGAATATGTGGATAGCCAGCACGACACACGTGTAGAAGGGCTGGTGGGAGCGCCGGTGGGGAAGCTTACCCCAGTGCCTTGTGACATTCCCTGAGGGCTTCCCCACTGAACTTCTGGAGAAGTCAGCAGAGAAGATTGCAAATGTATATTGTTATCGCAAAGCCCTGGTAACTGGTTGCAAGTGTGTGCTGCAACTGGTTGTCAAGCTCCCAGACAGCAATCTGTGTATGCTGGGACAACCGGAACTCTGAGGACTGCTCCTAACCACCATTCATTCAGTGCCATCTTGACTTTGAATGAATAGTCATAGGTCAATGATTATCTATATCAGTGATGGCGAACCTTTTAGAGACTGAGTGCCCAAAAACTGGCCCTGGCCCTGCTCCATTCCCTGCCCCGCCCCCACCCTGCCTGCCCGCAGGGCCACTCACCGCCTCCAGGGCCTGCCGCAGATTGCCCAGGCAGCCCAGCAGCGCCATGGCAGCCATGCCCTCTGCCCGCGCCCTGCAGCATCAACTGTGCTCGATGGGGCGTGAGGGCAGTCTTGTCTACGCTGCCTGGCTGCCATGTCCTTGACTGCGCTGCTCTGCATGGGCCACACTTGGGGGCAACTCTTCTCCAGGGGGGCTGCTGGTGAAGAGGGGGTCGCGGGGTGGCAAGGCTGGGGCAATGGCACGTGTGCCCACAGAGAGGGCTCCGAGTGCCGCCTCTGTGCCATAGGTTCGCCACCACTGATCTATATATCCTTCCAGTTTGGCAGGTTCTCATGTATGAGAATCACAGGCCTAACAGGCTAACAAATGCCTGAACATAAAATGAGAGGAAGCTACATGAAATTTCTTCTGTTTTTATTATTCCTTTGTTTCATCAGTTCGCTTCCTTGTAAACAATAATTCCTGCAATATATATTTATTAGCCAAATAATTTCAGATCAGTGGGAATTCTTCTCAAGCAAATAAACATAGGATTAAAACATATATCAATATTCTTTCCTTTCTTGCTGTAGAACATAATCTTTCGAGTTTTTAATCATCAAGCTTCTCAGTTGTTAGCCTCTGGGGCAGTGTTTTCTCAAACTTGGCAACTTATAAAATGCGTGGACTGCAACTCTCAGAATTCCTCAGCTAGTCTAACATGGCTCTGGGGGATAAGCTTGCGTGTTGCTCAAGATCTGCTTCAATCCACTTCAGCATATGCTTCAGAATGAGAGGGCTAGTTTTATTGACCCGAGTATGCTTGGTATTTCCCATAATGGTCCTTTGAGAACAATAGTCCCGGCCTTTGTGGCTGGGCTACAGAAGCCTCAGAATGAGGATTAGCTTTTCACTGTGTATTTCTAGCACTTCACTTGAAAATGATTTTTTTTGACTGCTTCTGTTGCCCTGTTGTCTTTGGCTACAGACGGTTTCGGTGACTGAATCCAAGGAAAGTATTCTTGGTGGGGTGCTGAAGGCTCTTCTGCATAGCATGGCCTGCAATCAAAGCGCTCTTTATCTCCAGCACTGCTTTGCTACTCAAAGAGCTTTAGTCTCAAAGGTGAGTGTTTTGAAAATGGATTACCAAGTGAGGAGG